GGGCTCTGCCGCGGTGGGACATCCGGGGGGGCCCGGCCAGGAGCTGGGGAGCCCGGCCAGGAGCCGAGGAGCCCGGCCAGGAGCTGGGGAGGCCCGTCCCGGCCGGCGAAAGCGAAAGAGGAAGGGATCCCGGAGCCGCCGCCTCAGCCCCGGGGGGAGGAGGAGGAGGAACAACAACAACAACACTCCGGGTTTCCCCTAAACCCGATCGTCTCAAAATGTGGCTTAAAAATAATTCTCAGACCGATTTTCCGTGCTTTAAGCCCACTCGCTACCCCCACACTCGGTTACCTCACCGGGCTTTTTTGTTTTTAAACGTCTTCCTTTTATTTTTAATTTATTTGAAGGGTTTACCTCACAAATTCAAGCTCCGTGACGCTGTTTGCCTTCCTTGGGTTCACACCCCCCCCCACACACAGCTAAAACCGTTCCTTCCCCTTCTCAAGGCAAAAATGGTCTTTTTAAGGCCTGAAGATGCAGAACATCAGCTCCATCAACACACCACAAGTGCTGCTTTATCATCGTTTCAGAAACGCACCGAACACCAAGAGGTGCTGCAGCCACGGGTATCTCGCCCAAAAGTCATTCCAAAACCAACTTGGGGTGCTGGCAACCTTCCAGTTTCCCCTGTTTGGCCACATCTAGTTGCCTGTTAACAGTTTTTCCACAAGAATTAACACCTGAGGTGTATTTGCTTGTCGCACAGGTGCGTTGCACCGGCCTTTCCCTGCGTATTAAGATGTCAAATACTATGAAAATGGGCTATTTTCCAGGTTAGGACCGGGCTGTTTCCACCTTCAGGTTGTTGCCAGAGCGTTTCAGCCCCCCAGGGCAGCAAATAATAATAAAAAAATGGACAGCAGAAAAGGAAAACACATTCCTCTGCGGAAAAGAAATCCTCCTCTGGCTCTGCACTTCCATTTCACCATAAAGATCGTTAAGAATCGCCTGAATTCTTCAGTGTGGTGTTTTAAAAGAAGCAAAATCACGACCAAACACGAGGGAAAATGTATTTGCAGAAGCACACGTTAAAAGCGATCCATTAACCATTAACTTACAGAATCATGGGGTAGTTTTGGTTGGAAAAGACCTTTGAGATCATCGAGTCCAAGCACTAACGCAGCAGAGCCAAAGGTATCAGGAGCTGGGTAAAACCTGCACCAGATCCTAGGAGAAGTTACAGCATTTCAACAGCTAAAAGCAGCATGACTCCTATAGGATTTCTTATAAGGTGAAATTTCCTGAGTAAACCTGTGGAGGTTTTGCACTGGCTGATTTGAGACTGCGGGTTTTATGACATTACAGGATAATGGCTTTCAGGCACTCGCGTTTCAGGCACTCTGTGGGGCTGGAGCTCTGTCAGAGGTACCTCCTGCAGCTGTGGCACTTTAAAAAAGCCCGTGAAGAGGCTTTTGATTGTGGTTACATACAGCTTTAGTAATCAAAAGGTGGGAAGGAACAGATTTATCCCACTTCGGAGTGTATGCGACCTCTCTGACATTTGCAGGATACAAAATCTGCACATTAGCAGAAAGCAATCTGAGATTAAGTTTCAAGTGCTGGTAAAGGCTTTTTCATAGGACCACAGAATCACAGAATATGCTGAGTTGGAAGGGACCCATCAGGATCATTGAGTCCAATCCCTGTCCATTTCTGATTTCAATCAGGAACCTCTGGAACACCAAGCACCAAGTTTTGCTGAATTTCTATACAAAGTCTGTGCCATTACACAAATCAGAAAGAAGGACAGCTCTTCAAATAGAAGTTTCAGAACATTAAAGCACAATGTCTGCATCACCTCCTGTGCCCCTGATGAAGAACTTCATTAGGTCTTCCTACGATTTCCTATATGGCATTCTAAACATCCTCCTCAAAACAAACACATGTTCCTCCTGATGAGTATTTGATTTTGTCTACTTCCCCACCACCATTAGTAGGCTTTTGAAAATGAATTTCAATCATGTCCTGTACGATCTCCTCATCATCTTCTGCATCTTTAATTCCTTTCACCAGAATGGTCCTCTTAGAAATCCCGCAATAGAGCTATTGAGGAAAGAAAAACAAACATGTATTAGGCATCAGCTGCTGCACGTACATCTAAAGGCACTGCCAGACCCTGGAAATGAACATATCCTTGATCAGATATGGCTAGGATCTTTGATGATGGTCTGTTTCTGCCAATGAAGATAGCAGGAGTTCCAACCAGGACTGAGGTCAGTAGGCAATAAACCCAGCCTCCTTCACTGCCGTGTCCTTCACTCCTTAACACACACACACATGGGATTTGGGGATCTTTGATGACTCCAGACAGCATCACTCCAAAAAAATCCATCCCAGTCCATGACATGCACCTCCAAAGAAAGCTGTGGTGTCACATAAGCACAATCTAGTCAATACTTTAATTACAAAGGCCTGATTATATACACATTACTGGCTTGATTACCATCTATTAATATGAAGTAGAGGACAATTTCTGTGAGAATATGATGATCAAGCAGTCCAGTGTTACAGGAAAAAAAGTCATTCCTTGGGTTGAATGAATGAAAAAAAAATAAAATGAATGAGCAAATGTTTGATAGAGCAACAGGGGTGTCTGCTGAGCCTGCAGACATCCTCTCATTAGGGATGATGGGAGAGTGCTTTGTGACTCGGAAGGACGTTGTTGTGTCTGCTGTTAACCTACTTCACAAACAATTCACTATCTGCCTCCCATCTAGCACAGACAGCATGGTAAGTAAGGACATAATTCGATCAAGGACAGACATGCACAGCCTTTTAAAATAAATTACAGCTATCACACTGCAAACCAGAAGATGCAGAGCAGCATCTTGCAGACTCACACGTGCTATTAGGTTTCACAACATGACACAAAAGCTTCTGCAGTCCTCAGAACTGAAGTGTCTGCCCCTATCTTGCATTTCCCACGTATCAATTAAGGGGTTAGCCTGGACTAGATTGTTTTACCTGAAACTTTTCCAAGTGTGCATCAGTGCTTTGGGACACGGGAAGCCTGTAGCACCTTCCATTTGCAAAGAAAGGATAGCTGGTACATTTCATAAAGCTGTTAGCTGCTGTAATGGAGAATGAGAAAAAAAAGAAGTCAGAATAATGTAACTTAAAGTGCATTTTGTAAGCATAGCAAAGAATAGACTAGCATTTCTTATGTGGATTTAGAAACTAATATATGATAGCACACTTGTAGATTCTTCATGTGCAATTTGCAAAACAAGTTTATTTGGCATTTCCAAAAAAGCAAAATCATTAAATATCCACAAAAGCTTCTGAAATAAATCTAAAGCAGCTGCTGTGGCTCCACTGATCTTCACAAAATTTCATACACTTGGGTAATCTGATTGCCTGTCTAAATTCACTGGCATGAAACAAGAGCTAAAATCAAACACGTTTTCCTAATTTGCTTTTTTTGCAGTATGTCTAGCAATGCAAAGAAAAGAAAGAAACAGCCACAGGTTTTTTGACCAAGGAAGAAATAAAGCTCACAAACTGCCTCTCAGGTCATGTTTGATCAAAAAGGAGTATGATGAAATCCCGCTTTATTAACAGATGTGTGGGTTAACCCACATCTTTTCCTGATCTGCTTAACTCTCAGTGGGAAGAAGTTGCTACATTGGGTGGTGAAATTGACACAGAATGCAATATGGAATGGAATGGAATGGAATGGAATGGAAGGCAGGATAGACAAGAGCAAAGTATTACATATGATACCTCCAGGTGTGAGGAAAGTAATCACAGCTGCTCCAGACTGCCTGTCATACTCCACATTTTCTACTTCTCCTCCTCCTCCCTGTTCAGATCTGTAGAAATTCAGCTCTAGTTTGTCTCTCATCCAGTCATCAGGGATGGACAGGTCAGGGACTTCGAAGACGTTGATCTTCTTTCCAGAAATAGTGACATGGAGCTAAAAAAAAATCCATTTTTTTTGTGCACTTTGTGACTGAAAACAACCAAAAAACTGAATGTAAAGCTTTTTAACTACTACAAGTTTGTATCTTTATAGTTTTGTAGTTCAGTTGATTACCTGAAATTTTACTCCCATTTCAAGTGTAACAGGCTGCACTTTCACATATGCTTTTTTGTTGTCCAGGTCCACAGTGTGCTCACCCATTTTTATCAGCCTCTGGGCAACTAAGGAAAATCACAACTTTTCAGATATGAAAAGCCTTGTTTCATCACCATCACCAAAACAATTCCCCAGCCTCTTATGCCAACATCTGCTTTTGCATCAGTAAAGAAGATATAAGTAATAGGCAACCAGATCCCACTACCCATGTGTACAGGCATGGCTGTTTCCATCAAATCTCACCAGCTGTAGGCAACAGGTAAAATACTGCTCTTTGGAATACTATATCTAATAGTTATATCTTTATTATTATTATTGTTATTATTATCATCATTATTATTATTAGATCTATATTAGAATACTATAGGAAAGTATTTTTAAATGCTGTCAAAAGATGCTCTCAAAATGTAACAAATATTAATATTAGGCTTCTCATATTTCATTTGAAGTATCCTGGGATTAAAACCACATCCCTACCAGGTGCAGAGAGTGCCTGTTAGCAATGTTTTAGCTGAAAGAAATGAAGGGGACACTAGTTTTCTATCTGCAATGTACCTGTGTACCAGTCAGCCACAGGCAGACTGGGCAGACATCTCAGTGGGAAGCCAGGGAAGCTACAGACTGCACCATCCCTCTGGCATCTCACATCTACCCATCCTCTGATGCCTGCACTTCACCAGCTGCTGTCAGAACAAGGTACTGCCCAGAGTAAAGAAAATGATCAAATTCTGCTGTCAAAACATTTTGAGTCACTCTTGACAATACTCGGGGAGGTAGGAACATATTCCCAATTTCAAACACAAAGTACTGTTTGTATTAGCTGAGAGCAGAAAGCTGCTAACCCAACACAAACATGCAGAGTGTTTGCAATATGTTTTTTTCTACTGATTGGTATGATAATGGTGAATGGTTCTCTGTGTCTTCTTTCTTTGGTTGTTGGGATTTCTTTTCCCCAAAATGTTTATGTAAATATTTTCCCCTTGGCAATTAATTTCATCAGAGACATTACTTTTATACTTAAAATAAGCATCATACCTTCTTCATCTTCAAAAGTAAGCAGTGCCTCATTTTTTTTCAGTCTGAATGGGCTTTTTGTAGCTACTCCAAAAACACAGTGAATATTCATATCTTCATCATCATCCTGCATAGCTTCCATGTGAGTGAACTTCATTTTCACTTCTGCTACCTTCTTTTTAATCTAGTATTTTAGAATCGAGATGGGGGGGGAAAAAAGCATTTCTGTAATTGCAGAACAGAAAAATTAACAGGAGTCTTCCTTGAAGTGTTTAATGTGTTTTGTTTTTAAAAAAATGTGTAGTCAAGCAGACTGAAGTCATGGCTGGTAAAACAGGTGTAACTCTTGTATATGGATTGACTTATCTATTACTGGGGTTTTTGTCCATGAGGTGGGTTTCCCCCCACACTTTGATTAACTTTGAACATAAAAGTTCAATACAAATTCAATGGAAGTCCACAGAGATTTCCACCTATAGAAGTGGAACCCTTTTGTCACCTAACATTTGCAAAATTCAGTTATTGCATCTGTGCTGCCATTTATTTGTGCCTAATTGCATCACTGCTCTACAACAATGAGAAATCTGCTAATAAACAGCCTGGTGTGTTGCCATCTTAGTAAAACAAATATCCAAGTATTTTATAGCTAGGATAAGCATGAAAAGGCTGGTTAGGAAGGGCTGATTTGAGTGAGTTTCAGAGAATTCTTTCTTCCCCTTCACATAACTATTTCAAAATAAAACCCTGCATGGGAAAAAAAAAAAAACAAACAAAAAAGTTTGTGTATAACCAATTATAAAATAACCAGAGTAATTAAAGCACTCCTGCCACCTCTCTTCAAAACTAGCATCTTATCTGTAAGCCCACTTTCTTTCCATTCTCTCTACAGCCAACTCTTCCTAAGGATGTCTGAAGTGCTGGGTGAAGGCCCCTGTTGTTGTTTATTTCCTTGTAGAGGAGCCCTGCCCACTCCAGTGACTGCACAGGGGATTCAGGAGGCTGGACTTGACATCTAAGCTTAGAAAGGGAGTTTAGAAAGCTCAAACTAATATTCTACTATTGTTAACATTAAACCAGGTAACACTTGGATAGTTGCAATCTCTGTAAAAACAAAAAATTACCATGGTTTTAATTTTACTGTAAATTCCTCAAAATATTTGGGTTTGTTCCAATTAGGAATGAAAACAGGTTTTTAAAAGCTGAATCGTCCACAAGGGAAGTTCCAATTTCTGAACACCTCAGAATCTGCAGGAGTTTCACCAAAGGCCGCTCTGGATCCTGAGTTTGAGTCTATTTTAGCATCACTAATATTTATCTAGCTGCAAATTGAGTTATTTCTGATTTGGAGTAACATGAGAGAGACTGTAATCAATGTAGGCTAAAATAAATGCCATATAATGGACAAACTGCCTTAATTCCATCCTCTTACCCATGACATACAAAATGAGAGTACTTGAAAATGACTCATGCTTTGTATATTTTTAATTCCAGTGTCTTCCATTTAATAACTTTCTGCTTTTCTTCATTCCTGTCATGTTTTCCACATTTCACACACTTGTATTTGTTTCTAGATCCTTAGCCTGCTTCACATTGTCTTGCCAGGTAACAGAAGAAGATAAAACTTCAAGCTCCATGTTATATTGAAATCACTAGGGGATCAAATGCTGCACAACTGGTCCCAAGAGTCTAGGGCTGACAAAACAAAAATGTGACCCTCCAAAAGACAAACTGGAAAATATTTCAGACTTTACCTTCCTATGCTGTGAAAGCTCTGAAGTCCATTCTGCAATCTCTTCTTTGAGCTTTTCAATCTCTCTCTGCAGCTCAGTGTTTTCTTGGTTTAGTTCAGAGAGTTCTCTCTACAGCCCCCCCAAAAAAAGTATTAAACGCAAAATGAAACCCATGGAAGACAAAAATGGATTTCAACAACATCTGCAGACATTAGAAACTGTTCAATTTCTAATTATTTTACATGACAGCCATGCACAATACATTTTTTGCACAGCTTAAGAAGGAAATGAATAAGAAGGAAACACAGCAGATGTAGTTAGCTCCAGCCATCCACAATTAGGAGATGGCTCCTTTAAAGTCATTAACCACATTTAGACCTATTCCCATCACTGAAGATAATGCAGACAAAAGCCAGATGATGATAATGGCCTCTTCTGGATATAAAATCCAAACATTTATGATTGGAGAACCAAAACCAACTTTAAGAAAATCTCATGCCAACCTAAATGTACTTAACCTATTAATTATATTTTAATAGCTTTTAATATTGAAGCCATAATTTCTCACCAGTGATTTATAGGCCAAATAAAACTTCACTGAAACCACCTCCTTGATGGCTCATGGAAACTTATCCTGTTACTGTACCAACAACTGCACATGGCACGCTGAGATAATGAGCCAATTAAGTCTAGAACCAATTAGTTCTAGAAGGAGCCCTCTTCAAACAGGTTCTGATTCTTCCCCAACTTATTGTCACTTAAGAAATGCCAACCCCTCATGTGCTTTAACACCCTGTAAGACAGGCTGGGAGCTGACAAAGCATTGGAATCAACCTGTTCCATTTTATCTGCATCTCACAAAACTGAAACTCATTTGTTAGTGGAGAATCTTGGAAGAGGAATTGTCTGTCTTGGAATTGGGACTGTCTTCATTGTCTGTACAAAATAGGCCTCAGTTTTGCCTTCACTCTTCTGCAAGACTTATCCCACTGGTTCTTAATCTGCCACTGAAAAAACACATGTAGAACATTCTACTCATAGCCTGCAAACGAGTAAAAATCTTTAAACTGAGAAGGAAATACCACTCTTATTTTCTCTGACCACCATCTCCTTCACAGCTCCCCAGCTGCTAACAGCCCTCAGTAAGCATCCTCCATACCTCATAGGTATCCCTAGGCATCATCATGTCCTTCTGCTGCTCCTCTTCAACATGTAGCTTTATCAGATCCTCCTCTGCTGTAGCACACCCTTCTTCAGCATTTAATTGGCAGGCAAGTTCAGCTTTTTGTTTTTCAGCTTTTTCAACTCTTTCCTGGACAGTAAAAATAAAAAATATTTGTATTTTCTTTTCTTCCACAGGAACAAGCAAAACCTTAAGTAAGCCCTTTCTATTTATTTATTTATAACATATTGGATAAATATTTCCCTTTGACTTACAAGTGTAGTTACCACTGAGTTCAACACAAGCCTGCACCATGAGAGAGCACAGAACAAGTTAGACAAACATGTTAGAAATCTGGGAGAGTTTTAGAAAGGTGGATTAAAGGCCTTCTAAGTACCATTCAGCTCACTTCCACAATTCTATGTGCTTCATAGAACTTGCCTTCCAGATCCTTAGTTCTTCTTCAAGACTTGCCATCTCGTCTTCTGGTGTGCCAGAAGCTTCAGGGGTTGTTGTTTTCTGGAGAGAAAAGAAGAGGCACACACAGGTTTTCCCCTCCATCGGGCAGTAACTGAGACACACCAAACCATTCAACTGAGTCTTCAAAATTAAAAAGCAAACAACAAAACCTTCTGCAGTTGGATGAAGCATTTTGCCATAGTCGTTTTCAATTCATCAAAGTCCCAGGTATTTGGGCTGTGTGCCCATTTGATGTTTTTTCTCCAGTTATGCAGGCAGGATATGTGGTGAGTCAAACATTTTGAGAGACCAATTGTATTTCATCGTTAAATCTGCCTAAAACCTGCATGCCAGAGCACAGCACATACCACTTAGTTTTTAAAAATGCAGTTGTGAGGAGAAGGATCTGGGAGTCCTGGTAGATAGTAAATGATCCATGAGCCAGCAGTGTGCCCTTGTTGTCAAGGCCAATGGAATCCTGGGGTGCATGAGGAAGAGTATGGGCAGCAGGTCGAGGGAGGTCATTCCCTGCCTCTGCTCTGCACTGGTGAGGCCACAGCTGGAGAACTGGGACCAGTTCTGGGCTCCCCAGTTCAAGGGAGACAGGGAACTGCTGGAGAGAGTCCAGGGAGGGCAACAAAGATTGGATTGGAGCATCTCCCTGATGAGGAAAGGCTGAGAGAGCTGAAACTGTTCAGCCTGGAGAGGAGAAGGCTGAGGGGAGACCTTATTCATGTCTACAGGTATCTCAGGGTGGGTGCAGGAGGATGGAGCCAGACTCTGCTCAGCAGTGCCCAGGAACGGGACGAGGGGCAACGGGCACAAGCTGGAACATGGGAAGTTACACTGAAACACGAGGAAAAACTTCTTTCCTGTGAGGGTGACAGAGCCCTGGGACAGGCTGCCCAGGGAGGGTGTGGAGTCCCCTTCTCCGGAGAGATTCCAGACCCCCTGGATGCAGCCCTGGATGTGCTCTGAACCATCCTGCTTTAGCAGGGCAGCTGGACTGGATGACCTCTAGAGGTCCTTCCAGCTCTGACAGTTCTGTGACTCAGATAATCAGACCAAATCACTGAACTACTTTGATGGCTGTACAGGACAAAAATCTAAGAAAATGGATCTTGTTCACCAAACATTATTTGCTAACGATGAAACTGAAAATATTGACAGGCTAATATTTTTATAAATAATAAAAGCAAGTTGTCTCTGTGCTCTTCCACAGGGAACTATACCCCTCAAAGCCACAGATGTTTACCTGTATGCTTGCTCAGCAGTTGCTCTAAGAGAATGCATAAAGAATATGCAGCCTAATGAGAAACACAATTCAGAAGAGGATGCTTCCAAGCTCAGGGAGACTGGACAATAAAAGGTAACATCAAGCAGGAGGAAGGTGATAAAAGAAGCATTTCAGAATTTAAGTACTTCAGGGTGGAAGTTCACAAGCACAGGGAAACTACAGCTGGATACAGCCCAAGAAGAGAGGAAATCTTGGTTCTGTTTTGTTTCTATGGCTGCAATATTCTGCTAAAACAGGGAAAAGAGTAATCCAAAGAGATGTGCTGAAACAATCCCTCCCTTTTACTTAAGATTACATAAAACTTGAATGTGAACCATGAAATTCAGGCATGGAAAAGGTCTAAGATAATCCTGTCAATTCTCTTGGTAATACTGGGTATTTCCTAAATACAATATAAAATATTTTTTCCACTACTTAGTCCAGTTTTAAAATGTCTATTAAGCAACAGGGAAATCCCCATCTGTGAATAACTTTAAAACTGGGAAAAAAATCCCTTTGCTCAAGGGACTGAGTGCAGGAAAGCAGAGGGATGTGCCAAAGCTGGAAGCTGAGAAGATAGAATCCATGGGTTTTACTGAAGAATTGTCTAAGACAACAGTTTTCAGCCTGAAAGAAAAACAAACACGACAGGGAAAACACAAGAAGTCCCACCCAAACTATCTCTATGTCACACTGCAGAAACTGAATCAAGGAAGGTGCCAGGAAAAAGGAAATCCCCCTAAGAAACCTCCATAGACAGATGAGCAAGTGAGGCAGGACAGAAAAATTCCACCAGAACCTGTAAAGCAGACACTTTAGAATGGAATTATCCCTATGGGAACAGGAGGTGGGAATCAGAAATGTCCCAATAAGAAGAGGAGAAGTGAGACAGGAAGTTTCAGAAGCACTGCCCGACCAGCCTGAGCACAAACCTTCACGCAGAAAAACTATTGTCAAACACAGACTTTTTTTCCCAGGCAGCACATCAGGAAATACTTACAAAGCCATTATCTTGTAAAGGTAGTGGAGGACTTGTAAAATCCATTGAAACCTGAGGGAACAGGAGAAACATAACGTGTGTATTGGCCTTTTGGGGTTTTTTTTTACACACCAGAAGCTGCGCTGAGCTAAAAGAATTTTTAATGTAAATGTTCTATCATTTTATAGGCAAAAGTGGATCTCTGAGGCCTCCTTTTTTACTAACCATAAAGGCCAGAGACACGCACGAGGATTTCTACAAGCACAGATGGATTTTTCTGCCCTGAAACTGACGTACTTTTACCTTCATGCAGCTTTTGCACCGTTACACACACGCTCCGTGCTGAACAGACACAACCCTCCGACCTCCTGAACCCAACAGAAAACACTTCCTTTACCCAGCAGATGATGGAAAATCCGGCCACCCTGTTGCCACGGCGCGGTGTGGAAGAGGGTAGCAAGGAATTTAAACGAGTCTGGGAGGCCCTTGATCCACGCAGAGGTTCCTCCCAGCCCCGGGACCCGCAGCACTCACCGCGTCCCGCAGCCCCTCCGGGCACCGCTCCCGGGTAGAACCGCTTTCGCTTTCGGTTCCCTCCGCAGGAGGAGGGACTGGCGGGGCGGGGACGGGCTGTCCCGGACCATGGGGACCCGCAGGAGGAGGCAAGGAGGCTGGTGAAGGGGCTGGAGGGGAAGGCTGAACAGGGATGGGCTGCGGGAGCTGGGGTTGGGTAGGAGAGGAGGCTCAGGAAGGAACTTCTCACTCCCTACAAGCCCCTGAAGGGAGGTTGTAGAGCTGGGGTTGGGCTCTTTTTCCAGGCAAACAGCGACAAGACAAGAGGGCCTGGGCTGAAGCTGCTCCAGGGGAGGGTTAGGCTGGATATCAGGAAGCACTTCCCCATGGAAAGGGTGATCAGACCTGCCCAGGGAAGAGGTGGAGGCACCGTCCCTGGAGGTGCTCAGGGAAAGGCTGGAGGTGGCACTTGGTGCCCTGGTCTGGAGATGTGGTGGTGTTGGTCATAGGCTGGGCTTGGTGGTCTGAAAGGTCTTTTCCAGCCTTGGTGACTCTGGGATTCTGGGATGCTGGAGATCCCAGGAAAGGCAGGGTCAGACAGGAAAAGGGAGAAATCCCTGGAAAGGCAGGGTCTGGCAGAGAAAGGGAGAAATTCCTGGAAAGGCAGGGTGCAGCAGAGAAAGGGGGAAATCCCTGGAAAGGCAGGGTCCAGCAGGAAAAGGAGGAAATCCCTGGAAAGGCAGGGTTGGACAGAAAAAATGGGGAAATCCTCCTTCTATCCTCGAAGAACATGGTTGATTTATAAGCCCTCCAGTACACAGATTCATAAAAATGATCCGTGGCAGACACACCCAGAGTTGGGCAACACAGTCATTGATGGGCAATGGCAGCTTCACCCTCCAGTAAGTGTTGCAGGTTTCTGAGGTTTTCTTCAAGTCCTTTGGCTGGCCACAGGGTGTGCTTGCTGAGTTGGACTGGAGCACTGATCTGACCACTACCACCCATCCCTCCTCAGGAAAAAGCCCTGTCTTTGGCAGGATGAGTTCCCAGATCTGTAGCCACAACTGCTGCTGCTCCCACAGGGAAGGAAGGGGAGGAGACCTTCAACATGCATGTAAGTCATCAGAGAGGGGCAATGAGATGTGAGCTGGCAGGAGGTGACTTCTGGTTGCAAACATTCACTGTGTTAGCCAGTGGGCATTCCTTTTTTAAAGAGATTTCAGGGAAGAGCTTCTTCAGGGAAAGAAAAGCTGTGGTTTCCACCGTGATCAGTCCGAGGAAGAGAAAGCACTGGCTCCTCCTTGAAGGGTTGGGTTACTTGAATGGCCCTTCTTTGTGTAGGTAACTGAAGGGAAGTCTCATATATCCCAAGAGAGCTGGTATGGCTCACTTTGTCATGCAGCTTTTTTGGCTTGGACTTCTTGTAATGGGAGCCATCAGGTGGCAGGAGCAAAGTCTCTGTGCTTAAGTGTGGCTGGGTGAAAGTACCACAGGCATAATTCACTAATAGCTCTGGGATTCAGGAGCAGAATCCAAGATTCACAGGGCACAGCTGATTGAATTCAAGACTTCCATCAGCTTGAGTTTGATACTCAGTGGATGTGCTGCAGTCCTGAGCAAAATTTAGGGAATGTCTGTGACCTAGGGCAAGAAAAAAACCAAAGCATATTGCTTTCAGGTTTCCTTTAAAACTAAGCTGACTGCTCTTTGGAATGCTACCCTCAAAACTGCCAACAGACTTGGACTTGTTGGCCAGATTGGTGGGATACATTATTTTATATGGTTAGCAGTCCATCAGCACTGGCTGTTAAAGAAATTAATCCTCAGAAGTTCCAAATGTGCCACCAAGGAGGCACATGAAGGTTTGAGGAATACTTTTGCTTTCCTTTGCTGTGCAAAGGGAATCCTGGATTGCAGCCTGTTTGGGTAGCAGTCACTTTGTGCCACTGAATTCAGTGGGAGTTTTACTCATGGAGTAACTATTATGGCAGTTTCAAATGTCCTTGTCTGTTTTTTTAAGATAAGTAGATGACTCTATGACCCTGTACTCAAGAGATCTTTTTTATTATTATTTTCTCCCATGACAATGGGTAAATATGTTTACTATTGCTTTATAAACACAAAGCTGGTTACTAATGAGTAAAAGGGAGAGGTTTAGCTGGAGTAGCCAGGGAGTAGGAGGTGATTGTGTTATGACCTAAGTTCAACAGATTTCAGATTTAAATGTCAGAGTGGCAGGCTGTTCTCCAG